GTGTTTAATAGACTAATTATGCCATATTTAGGGGTCCTAAGTTTGCTCGAGCAGACAAAGCCAATTAGTATAATGAAATGTGCAAAGACTTGGAGTTAGAGTACCAAAAGGGAAGAACATGCTCAGCATTTCTCAAGCTGAAAGAATCGAGGAAAAAATTTAAGCCTCAAGTTGCAATATTGAAAGATTCTGTGGGCAAAATATTGAATGATGCAGGAAACATTAAAAGAAGATGGAAGGAATACACAGTCACTGTACCAAAAAGAGCTGGTAGATCTTCATCCATTTCAGGAGGTGGCATATGATCAAGAACCAATGGTACTGAAGGAAGAAGTCGAAGCTGCACTGAAGGAATTGACGAAGAACGAGGCTCCAGGAATTGACGGAATACCCATTGAGATGTTTCAACAAATGGATGCCCCACTGGAGGCATTCACTTGGTTATACCAAGAGATTTGGAAGACAGCTACCTGGCCAACTGACTGGAAAAGATCCATATTTGTACTCATTCCAAAGAAAGATGATCCCACAGAATGTGGAAATTATTGAACAATTTCATTAATGTCGCATGCAAGTAAAATCTTATTGAAGATAATTCAAAAATGGTTGCAGCAGTATTGACAGAGAACTTACAGAGGTTCAAGCCGGCTTCAGAAGAGGACGTGGAACGAGGGACATCATTGCTGACATCAGGTGGATCTTGGCTCAAAGCAGAGAATACCAGAAAGATGTTTACGTGTGTTTTATTGACTATGCAAAAGCATTTGGTTGTGTGGATCATAACAAATTGTGGATAACATTGAGAAGAATGGGAATTCCAGAACATATCATTGTACTCCTGAGGAACCTGTACATAGACGAGGAGGCTGTTGTTCGAACAGAACAAGGGATACTGTGTGGTTTAAAATCAAGAAGGGAGTGCGTCAGGGTTGTATCCTTTCACCATACTTATTCGGTCTGTATACTGAGCAAATAATCTGAGAAGCTGGACTGTATGAAGAAGAACGTGGCATCAAGATTGGAGGGAGAATCATTAACAACCTGCGATACGATGATGACATGACTTTGCTTGCTGAAAGTGAGGATGACTTGAAGCACTTACTGATGAAGATTGATTAAGACAGTCTGCAGTATGGATTACACCTCAATATAAAGAAAACAGAAATCCTTACAACTGGACCTATAAGCAGCATCACGATAAATGGAAAAAAGATTGAAGTTGTCAAAGACTTCACATTGCTTGGTTCTACAATCGACGCCAGTGGAAGCAGCAGTCAGGACATCAGATGACGTAAAGCATGGGCAAGTTGTCTGCAAAAAACCTCTTTCAAGTGCTGAGGAGCAAAGATGTATCCTTGAGGACTAAGGTTCGCCTGACACAAGCCATGATATCTTCAGTCACCTCCTATGCATGTGAGAACTGGACAATGAATAAGGAAGACCAAAGAAGAATTGATGCTTTTGAGTTGTGGTACGGGCGAAGAATGCTGAAAGTACCATGGACTGCTAAAAGAACTAACAAATCTGTCCTGGAGGAAGTGCACCCGAAATGCTCTTTGGAAGTGAGAATTGCCAGACTTCGTCTCACCTACTTTGGTCATGTTATCAGAAGGGACCATTCTCTGGAGAATGATGTCATGCTTGGTAAGGTGGAGGGTCAACGAAAGAGAGGAAGGGCCTCAACGAGATGGATTGACACAGTGGCTGCGGCGATGGGCTCAAGTATAGTAGGGATCGCAGAGCTGGCGTGGGACCGGGTGGTGTTTCATTCTGCTGTGCATATGGTTGCTATGAGTCGAGGATGACTCAACAGCATCTAACAACAACAGCAACAAGTTTGCTCTATTTTTTCTTCTATCATCTTCATAGTCTTAGGTTTTATTTTAACTCTTTGATCCATCTTGAGTTCGTTTTTGTATATGGTGTGAGGTATGGATCCTCTTTTGTTTTTCTGCAAATGGATTTCTAGTTTTGCCAGCACCATTTATTAAAGAGTCTGTCTTTCCCATTTAATGGATATTGGCCTGTTGTTGAAGATCAGCTGTCCTAGGTGGATGGATTTTCTTCTGGGTTCTCAATTCTGTTCCATTGGTCTTTGTGTCTGTCATTGTACAGATACCAGACTGTTTTGACTACAGTGGCTTGTATGGTAGGTTCTGAGATCAGGAAGTATGAGACCTCTTACTTTGTTCCTTTTCTTCAGTAGTGCTTTGCCTATCTGTGGTCTCTTTCCTTTCCAAATAAAGTTGATGGTTAGTTTTTCCATCTCTAAAGAATGTTGAGGGAGCTCTGGTAGCATAGTGGCTAAGACACTTGCCTGCTAACCAGACGGCTGGCGGTTCAAACCCACCAGCCACTCCTCGGAAGGAAGGTTGGGCAATCCTACTTCCGTAGTGATACTGCCTCGGAAACCCAAGGAGGGGTCGCTATGAGTCGGGTTTGACTCGACGGCACATAACAACAACAACAACAAAGAATGTTGATAGAATCTGGATCAGGATTGCATTGTATCTATAGATCACTTTGCGTAGTATTGACATTTTCACGTTGTTAAGTCTTCCTATCCATGAGCATTGTATGTAGATCTCTTTTGGAATTTTGTAGTTTTCTTTGATATACATTTTATATTTCTGGTTAGATTTATTCCTAAGTATTTCATCTTTTGAGTGGCTATTATTTATGGTATTGTTTTCCTGATTTCCTTTCAGAGTTCTCTTTGTTAGTGTAGAGAAATCTGTAATTTTTGTATGTTGATCTTTTGCCCTGCCACTTTGCTAAATCTTCTATTAGTTCTAATAACTTGCTTGTATAATTTCTGGGGTTCTCCTTGTATAGGATCATATCATCTACAAAAAAGGATAGTTTCACTTCTTCCTTACGAATTTGGAGGGTGCCTTTTATAGTAAGAGTAGTGATAAAGAGCATCCTTGTCTGGTTCCTTATTTCATGACGAATGCTTTCAGTCTCTCTCCATTGAGCATAATGTTAGCTGTTGGTTTTGTGAATAATGTTGGCTGTTGGTTTTGTGTATATGCCCTTAATTATGTTGAGGAATTTCCCTTCTATTCCTGTTTTGCTGAAAGTTTTTATCAGGAACGGTATTAGATTTTATCAAATGCCTTTTCTGCATCAGTTGATATGATCATGCGATTCTTTTCCTTTGTTTTATTTATGTGGTGGATTACATTGATTTTTTTTTTTTTCCTCATTGTGATTTGGGTGAAATTTTACAGAGAAAATTGGTTTTCCATCAACAATTCATATGTATTTTGATTGGTGACATTGATTGCAATCCCCACAATGTAACAACACTCTTTCCACTGCCTCCCTGTGTTTCCTGTTCCATTCTGCTTTCTTTCCTGTCCCTTCCTGCTTTCTGAGCTTTATCCCTGGGCAAATGCTACCCTTTTGACCCCGTGATTTGTTGTTCTAAGGGTCATAGTCTCAAGGGTACTACCAATCTCTATCAAACTAATGAGCCTAGTCTTTCTTACTGAGTTTGGTTCCACATTTTTCTCCAGCTCTATCTAGGACCAACTCTATCAGGGACCACCTAACATTGATTGATTTATTGATGTTGAACCATCCTTGTATATCTGGTATGAGTCCCACTTGGTTGTGATGTATTATTGTTTTTGATGGGGTGTTAGGTTCTGTTGACGAGGATTTGTTGAGAATTTTTCTATCCATATTCGTGAGGGATGTTGGTCTGTAATTGTCTTTGTTAGTGGTGTCATTGTCTGGCTTTAGTGTCATTTATTCATAGAATAAATTCAATAATATTCCATTCTATTCTATTTTGGAATAGTTCGAGTAGAATTGGTGTCAGTTCTTCTGAATGTTTGGTGGATTTCTCCAGTGAACCCATCTGGGCCAGGACTATTTTTTGTTGGGAGTTATTTATATGACCTCTTCAGTTTCTTAATCTGTTATGAGTCTGTTGAAATTTTCTACCTTAGTCTGTATTAGTTTAGGTAGGTAATATGTTTTTAGACATTTGTCCATTTTTTCTACCTTTTCAAATTTGTTGGAGTATAATTGTTTATAATATTGTTACTGTCCTTTTTATTTCAGTCGGTTCTCTTGTGACTCAAACATACACTCTTTATAACCTCCACACACACCACTGGAGACCTGGCAGAGTTTGTTGGAGGTTTAGGGGGATGAATGGAGGTGGTGCTCTTCTTTTAGGGGATAGTTATCCAAGTCAGACCCTCTTGTGGCCTTGTAGTTTGGAGGGAAGGGTATCCCAGTCCAGAGACGAGCAACAGCTTTTTGGGAATGGGTTGGAGAGAAAAGGGGAGGACTGTGGGCAAGGTGAGAGTTGTCTCCTTGAAAACACCTGGGACAAAGTTGAGGACTCAGATGCCTAATGGGGACCTGCCCTAAGAAGAGGATGGCATTATGAGAGATAAGAGGCTCTTGCAAGCCTTGGAAACGGGCTTAGAAGCTGCTTGGGTCAGGAATGCAAGGATTCAGGGTACCAGAGCCTGATCTAAAAGTGGGGCCTTCAAGTAGACACATCCCTTGGCCCCACAGACTTCTTGCTCAGAGGGGAATGTCACAGCCAGAGGAAGAGCGGAGCAGGCCTTCCAGGCAGGGAGCCCTGAGCAGGCCAGCTGCCCTGCCAGCCCTCCACCAGTGCAGTGTGGTGCAGAGGAGGAAGGTGAGGCTGGAAGCAGAGAACTGGCTCTGACCCTGATCCTGACCACATTATTTCTCTGTTGTGGATTTCATATATGATCTTTCCATCCCTAAAAATCCATGACTCAAGAACCAGCGATTTCATCACCCCTCAGTGTCCCTGAGTCACCGAGAGTGCTAAGGCTGCACTCATGGGGCTTAACACCTCGGCTGGAGGGAGGTGAGGGTTCCCTGACCATTCCTGGCATGGTCTTGGGGAAGCTGTTGGGTTTTCATGCCGTGGTTTCCTAGGCAGATTTGAAAGTCAGTAGATACTCTGGATGGCGATTTAAGTCTCTCTTTTCATTCGTTTGCAGAGATGCTGCAGTTTGTCAGCAATCAAGTGGGAGAGTTCTCAGACTTGTTTTCCGAGCAGCTGTGCAGCTCCTTCCCCGGCGGCAGCGGCGGAAGTTCCAACAGCAGCGGCAGCAACAGCGGCAGTGGCGGCGGGAGCGGCAGTGGCGGGGGCAGCGGTGGCGGAGCCGTGGACCTCTCCATGCAACGGCCGTTCAGCCAGGTGCCCTTGCCTGCCTTCTCTCCCTCGGCCACCACCCCCCAGGCTCCGGCCCTGCAGGTCAAGGTTCCCCCCACGACGGTCCCCACCCCGCCCAGGGCGGCGCCTGTTCTTCAGCCCCGCCCCCAGCCTCCGGCGCCACCCCATGCTCCGATGCAGCAGCAGACAGTGGTGGTCGGCCCGACGTTCAGCACCACCGCCCCACAGACGAGGATCATCCAGCAGCCCCTCATCTACCAGAACGCCGCCACCAGCTTCCAAGGTGACTCCCTAGTTAGATACGACGAGGATTGGTTGATGGAAACTTCAGTCAGATGCGACGGGGGTTGATTGGTTGAAGCATCAGTCAGATCCCACGGGGATTGGTTGGTTGAAACTTCAGTCAGATGCCACGGGATTGATTGGTTGAAACTTCAGTCTAGATGGCACGGGGTTAGTTGGTTGAAACGTTACAGCCCTGTGCTGTTTGGGGTGCAGACTGCATCTTGGGCCCTGTCTGGATGAGAATAGTAACTCGCAATGAAAATTGTGGGCCAGGAACATTTCCCCTGTGCCTCTTTCAGTATGGTAATGTCTGTCATACCTGCCTTGATGAGACTTGGTCAGAGACACCACCAAGCACAGTTGACAAAGGCTTCCTTGGCCAATGGAATTTTGAATAAAATCGGGCTGGAAACTTGCCCCCCGCTTCTTGCTGAGGCGGGGGGCCATCCTTAGCACTCTTTAAGTCGTGAACCCTTCACTCACGGCCATCTCAGCACCCATGCTGGAGAGGAGTGCCCCCCGTAGGTGCTTCGTCTCTGAGTAGCAGGCCTCCGAGTGGCCCTCAGGATGGGTTGAGTGGGTGGCTGATGGTGGCTTGTTCCTGAGTGGTGCTGTCCTTTGCTGCCTCTTTGTTACATTTTCCTCTAAGCTGGGGACACCCAGGTAGAACTGGTTTGCTCTGAATTTCAGAGTCTGACAGAGCTCCTCCAAGCTTTGAGGATGGAGGATGGAGGGTGAGACAGCCATCCTAAAGTAGGCTGTCTGCCCAGGAAGGGTGGGGGAGTGCAGCCCCAGGCAGTGTAGACATGCACAGCTGCGGCCTCCCTTTGCTGGGAATGGTCACCTGCTGAGCAGCTTCCTCGACCCGCTCGCCAGCCCCCCCGGGGTAGTGAGGTCATCTGTACTGTTCCCTCAGAAAAGGATGCGGCCCTCTGGGATGTTCTTGTTATCTAGGCCAGCCTGTAAGTGGCCATGCGTCTTACCAGCAGGAGGTGGGGGTGGGACTCCTCAGGAGGCACACACTCTTGGGTTATTCTGTAGTGACAAGGACGACACACTCCTGGCTGCATGACGTTTTTCTCCTGTCCTCCCAAGTCCTGCAGCCTCAAGTCCAAAGCCTGGTGACATCCTCCCAGGTGCAGCCGGTCACCATCCAGCAGCAGGTGCAGACGGTCCAGGCCCAGCGGGTGCTGACACAGACGGCCAATGGCACGCTGCAGACCCTGGCCCCTGCTACGGTGCAGACGGTGGCCGCACCCCAGGTGCAGCAGGTCCCGGTAGGTATTTGGCAGAGATTCATGGAGGCGCTGGATGGGGCTGTCAGCACGTCCCTGGTTGAAAATGCGGTCTCCATCCAAAAAGGACCAGCCACAGTGTACAAGGAGTGGTTCATAGGGCTGGCGAGGGGTGCCCGGGCACCGGTGTGTGCGTTGGCTCTGGGGATCTAGCTAAGATTTACCTGCATCTCTACACGGGCATTCATGTGCACTCGGTGAGCAAGGTTGTTAATGGATTTGCACATACACTGGGTAAACACAGCTTGTATAAGACATACATGATACACTAGAAATGATACAGGGAGGAGATGTGCCAAAATGGTATCTTTCAGTTGATTTGCTTTATAATCTGAAGACAGTTTAAGCCATGTATTACATGACACCACTCATTTGTCAGTTTTTCTTACTGTGGTGGCTCGTATGTTGCTGTGATGCTGGGAGCTATGCCACCAGTATTTCAACCACCAGTAGGATCCACCGGGTGGACAGGTTTCAGCAGAGCTTCCAGACTAAGACAGACAAGGAAGGAGGACCTGGAGATCTACTGCTGACAGGGAAACCCTTACGGACAGCAGTGGGACACCGTCTGACCCAGGGCCGGAAGATGAGCCCCTCTGGTCGGAAGGCACTCAAAATATGACTGAGGAGGAGCTGCCTCCTGAGAGTGGAGTCAACCGTAATGCCATAGATGAAGTCAGGCTTTTAGGACCTTCATTTGCTGATGGGGCACAATTCAAAATGAGAAGAAACAGCTGCAAACATCCAGTAATAATTCAGAATGTGGAATATGAATTTGGAACATGGAATGTGTACAAAGTATTAACCTAGGAAAATTGGAAGTTGTCAGAAATGAAACAGAACACACAAAGATCAGTATCCTAGGCATTAATGAGCTGAAATGTAGATGTATGATGTACTATGCTGGGAATGACAAATCGAAGAGGAATGGCATCATATTTATCATCAAAAAGAACCTTTCAAGATCTGTCCTAAAATAGAGTGTAGTCAGTGATAGGATAATTAATATACATAAACCTACATGGAAGACCACTTAATATGACCATTATTCAAATTTACACCAATACAGCCAAAAATGTCAAAAATGAAGAAATTAAAGAATTTTACTAATTTTGCAGTCTGAAATTGATCAAACATGCAATCAAGATGCATTGATAATCACCGGTGATTGGGGTGCAAAACCTGGAAACAAGACGGGTTGGTAACTGGAAGACATGGCCTTGGTGATAGAAACGACCAGAGATCTCATTATAAGAGTTTTTCCTTCCTCTGCATTATACCTCATGATGGAATTTTAGAAAACGAATGACTTACTCATTGCAGATACCTTTTTTCCATAATGTAAATAGCAACTATACATGTGGCTCTCATTGGACGAAATACACAGTAATAAAGTACACTACATTTTTGGAAATAGGTGATGCAGAAACTCAGTATTACCAGTCACAACGAGGCCAGGGGCCAACTGTGGAACAGACCATCAACTGCTCACAGCTTGGCAGTTCCAGCTGAAGCTGAAGAACAGACAAGTCCACAGGAGCCAGGGTACAACCTTGAGTATATTCCACCTGCACTTAGAAACATCTCAAGAATAGGTTTAACACATTGAACACCAATGACCAAAGGCAAGGTGAGTTGTGAGATAACATCACATACATCATGAGAGCAAAAGGTCATTGAAAAGACAGGAAAAAACAAAAGAACACACAAGGGATTTCAGAAGAGACTTCTTTTTGTTTCCAACTTTCCACCTTTCACGTTTCAATTACCAATCATTATCAGTGTATCTTGACTGCATGTCTGATCAATTTCAGACTGTAGAATTTGGGTAAAAATCTTCAATTTCTTCATATTTGACAAGCAGGAAAACTTCCTCTTGAACGGAGAGTGGCTAAAGCGAATGGAAGAAATGATGAAGTAAAAGAGCTGAACAGGAGATGTCAAAGGGCAGCTGGAGAAGACCAAATAAAGTGTTAGGATGAAATGTGCAAAAACCCGGAGGTAGAGAAAGCAAAGGGAGGAACATGCTCAGCATTTCTCAAGCTGAAAGAGCTCAAGCCTTAAATTGCAAGATTGAAAGATTCTTTGGGTGAAATATTGAAAGATGCAGAAAGCATCAGGAAAGGATGGAAGGAACACAAATCACTGTACCAAAAAGAATTGGTCGACATTCAGCTGTTTCAGGAGGTAATGTATGATTGAGAAGTCCAAGCTGGGCTGAAGGCATTGGTGTAAAACCAGGCCCCAGGAATTGATAGAATACCCACTGAGATGTTTCAACAAATAGATGCAATGCTGGAAGCACTTACGCATCTCTGTCAAGAAATTTGGAAGACTGCTTCTTCGCCAACCAACTGGAAGAAATCCATAGTTGTGCCCATTCCAAAGAAAGGTAATCTAACACAATGCAGAAATTATCAAATAATATCATTAATATCACACGCAAGTAAAACTTTGCTGAAGATAATAAAAAATAGTTGCAGTGGTACTTCGGCAGGGAACTGCCAGAAGTTCAAGCCACGTTCGGAAGAGAACACGTACCGAGGAATAGTGCTGTTGTCAGATGGATCTTGGTGCGAGCAGAGCATACCAGCAGCATGTTTACCTGAGTCTTACTCACTATGCAGAGGCTTCAGCTGCGTGTATCCTAACAAACTGTGGGTAACATTGAGAAGAATGGGAATTCCAGTGTGCTCATAAGGAACCTGTACGTGGGCCAGGAAGCTATCGTTCAAACAGAACAAGGCGATACTACATGGTTTAAAATCAGGAAGGGTGTGTGTCAGGGTTGTATCCTTTCACCATACTTATTCAGTCTGTTTACTGAACAAAAAATCCAAGAAGTTGGACTATATGGAAAAGAACATGGCGTCAGGATTGGAGGAAGACTCATTAACAACTCATAACAACAGTATGCAGATGACACAACCTTGCTTGCTGAAAGTGAAGATGACTTGAAGTACTTACTGATGAAGATTAAAGAATACAGTCTGCAGTGCAGATTATACTCAACACAAAATGAAACAGCAACAAAAAAACGCCTCACACCTGGACCGGTAGGCAGTAAGAAAAGGATTGAAGTTCTCAAGGATTTCTTTTTACTTGGTCCACAATCAACACCCTTTTAAGTAGCAGTCAGGAAATCAAATGACATATTGCATTATGCAAAACTGCTGCAGAAGCCTCTTTAAAGTGTTAAAAAGCAAAGGCATCTCTATGAGAACAAGTCATTTCATATGCATGCAGAAGCTGGGCAATGAATGAGAAACACTGACCAAACACACTGCCATGGAGTCAATTCCAACTCAAAGCAACTTCCATTGAGTTTTGCAAAAAAAAAAAAAAAAGATGTGAAGGTGTTATCCTCTGCCGTCCTCTAACTTCACAAGGCGAAGACAGAACCACCATCAGCAGCACAAGGCTTATACCTATGAGGCCAGACATGCTGCCACCCTCCAGGCTTTTTACCAGTTCTGACACCAGCCCTCCCAAGGCACTCACTTCCTCTCTGCTGGGTTCAATAATTTGTTGCAATGGCCACACATAACTCACAGATAATACTCAAGTTTATGGGGTTTATTAGGGAAGCAATAGGTTACAATTCAGATTTAGGAATGTGCTCAGGATACCCAAGCATGCCTCTCTGGCCCTTGGCCTCTTGACCTGGCCTCTGCCCTGCTCAGGAAACTGTTACAAAGCTCTTTTAGCTCTGCCAATGTTGTTACAAAGCTCTTTTAGCTCTGTGGATAGGTGCACCTAAGTGCATTCCCACTCCATCAGCAAGCCTCCTGCCCAGAGGCACTCAGCCTTCTTGCTCTGTGGGCGGGCAAACTCACTGCTCTGTCTCATGCCCGATCATCTCTGCTGTCTCTCTGCCAAGGAGGTTCAGTGCAGGGATCTCAAGTGCAAGGATGTGCTCTATTTCATCTCCAGCTCCTCTCTCTTGATGGCAGTGAGATCCCCCTTTCTGCCTCTAGGAAGGCTCATTGAAGCCTAGCAGAGTGACAGAATTAACCAGTCCCCACAATAGAGTTCCCTACACTGTAGTTGCGTGGTCCCACCCCCACAAGGGGGCCAGGCACCTTATTCACATTACCAGCAAGCTATCTAATCCCCTTGGTGGACCACAAAGCACCACACGTGTGCATAGTCCCACCCAGTCATCTGGTGGGAGTCACAAAGACCCCGGCTTCGAGAGAACGGTACCAAGTAATTCACCGCACCACAGGTTTCTGCAAATCTTGACACAGAGTGGCTGGTGGGTTTGAATCACTGACCTTTTTGGTTGACAGCCAAATGTCTTAACCAGTATACCACCAGAGCTTCTTAACAAGTACAATGGGCTGTATTTTCTTGCTAGACAGAGTCATTTATCTTTTAAAAGCCCACACACAACCACCTAGGAGTCATCTTTGTGTCTCAGCCAGGCCCTTGGCCGTCTTGAGTGTGTCTGTCAGACCTCGCTCCCTTCCCTGCCCCCGCCCCTCCCACTTGGCCCCTGCTTGGTTACCGGTGCTGCCATCATCGAAGCTTTTCAGCCTTAAAACCCAGAACCCTCTTCAGCTGCACCCCCTTCCCGCCCTTGCCCCAGAGCTCAAGTTGTACAGGATAGCCAGTTCCAGAAAGTGCACTCGGTGAGGTTTCCTGTTATTTTTTTGATTGTTGGTTTCATGGAAATTGTCTTCTCTTACTCTTTGTTGGCGCATCGATGCACTAAGAAGCAAATGCAAAATGGATAACACAGCCTTTCTTTCCCCTTTATTTCTCCCCATCCAGGTCCTGGTGCAGCCTCAGATCATCAAGACAGATTCCCTTGTTTTGACCACGCTGAAGACAGATGGCAGCCCCGTCATGGCCGCGGTCCAGAACCCAGCGCTCACCGCACTCACCACCCCCATCCAGACAGCTGCTCTACAAGTACCAGTAAGAGCGCCTGTCCCCGCCCTCCTCCTGCCTCCTTTCTTAGAGGGGCTAGGCCTCCTGGGTGATAACAGACTCCACACACACTGAATGGCGGTCACCAGTGCCGAAGGGTTTCAGTCACACTGCTAATGTCACCACCCCTCTTTGAACTCATGTCTTATGGGAGTGCTGGGCCCCATGCAGGGGAGGGGAGAACAGAAGGGGAGCCACCTGCCCCATAGGTGCTGCTGCTGGAGGTTTGGCTTCTGAAGGATGCTGGAGCCACCAGGCAGGGAGGGGCTCCAAGGTGTCAAACTTTCTTCAGGTGTGGTCTCTGCCACTGTTAGCCTCCTGTGGCAAGAGAACCTGTAAAGAAAACAAGAAAATGAAACCCATTGCCATCAGCTTTGCCTCTTACTGACTCATAGAGACCCCCATTGGTGTTCTAAGGTGGTAAATCTTTACGGAAGTAGATTGCCCCATCTTCCTTCTGTGGAGTGGCTTTTGGGTTTGCACCGCCAACCTTGTTGTTAGTGGTTAGTAGTCACTGTGCCACCCGAGCTTCTTGTAGTGACCCTATAGAGGAAAGTGGGGTTCAAATTTGAAAGCACTTGATTTATTCATAAAAGCCAAAATCTGGATACAACCCCGATGTCCATCAGTAGACGAAAAAATTGTGGTATATTCATACAGTGAGAATAAGGAACATTTGTGCACCCGACGACACGGGTGTACCATGAAAGTAGCACGTTGAGCAGCAAGAGGCAAAGCTGAGCCACGGTAACGAGTCAGCCGTCCTTACTCGGGGGGTGCAGGGCCAGGTGTTGGCTGGGAAGGGGCCCAGGGGCTTCCTGGGGGATGGCAGTGGTCTCTGCCTTACCCTCGTTGGTTACTCAGGTGTGAACTCACATAAAACCTCACCAGGCTGCACGTTTAGAAGCTGTGTACGTTTATGACGTAAAAATTCTTTCTTGATGACTTGGGGTCAAGTTGAGGGTCAGTGAAAAAGAGGAAGACCCTCAAGGAGATGGATAGAGACAGTGGCTGCGTCCACGGGCTCACGCAGAGCTGCGGTTGTCGGGACGGTGTAGGCCTGGACGGTGTTTGATGCTGTGCATGAGGTTGTTGGGTGGGAGCCAACTCGACAGCACCTAACAACAACAGTGATGAGGAGCAACTCGTGACTGATCTGTTGGTCATTTGGATATTGACTCCCTTTATTGAAGAAAATCAAAATTAGTAAAGATGGAAAGGGGAAAGCAGGGCTGAGGAACAAAGGGTAACCTGTGTGGTTGGCCGATTCATTAATAAAACCGCTCTGATTAAAGTGTTTGGGTGGCCACGTTGGATAAGGAAAGGCAGTAAGTGACTTAGTTGTCACCTACCAGGAAGTGTCAGTAGCAGGAGAAAGTGGCCTGTTGCCTGTGGTGCATTGTGCATGGCTGAGGCGACTGACAGTTTGCAGCAAAGCCGAAGTCGCAGGACTTGGTTCTAGCACCTTCCATCCAACGTGAAGACATCTTAGGTCTTAACCCTGTAGTGGTGTCGTTCGCTGACAGTGGTTCTAGAAGGGAGCTAGTGGCTAAGGTACCACGGTGGCTCCTGAGCCTTCTAGGGCCAGACTTAACTAATGCTTAAAGGGTCTCGGCTGCCTGAAGCATTGCCAGGTGATGCCACGTGGCCAGGGGTGAGCTGATACGTGTTGTGAGCTTGCTGTGCTTAGATTACTGAGAATGTAATGCTGTCCCTGTGTCTGTTCTAGACCCTAGTGGGCAGCAGTGGGACCATTCTGACCACAATGCCTGTGATGATGGGGCAGGAGAAAGTGCCCATTAAGCAGGTCCCAGGGGGCATCAAGCAGCTCGAGCCCCCCAAAGAAGGGGAGCGACGGACCACACACAACATCATTGAGAAGCGATACCGCTCCTCCATCAACGACAAAATCATTGAATTGAAGGACCTTGTCATGGGGACAGACGCCAAGGTAGGTGCCAAGCAGAATGGTCCCTCAGGCCCCACCCTGTCCCTTCTGTGTGTCTCAGCCGTGGGATGTAGGAAAGACGGGACATTCCAGGTCTGAGGGGACCCAGGAAACGCCTCGGTGCTCGTGAAGCTTGTCGGCCGTTAACCAGCACGAGGGGACTGTCGGGTTGGAAGGCAGTGGTCCCCTGGACCTTTGACTCTGCGCTGAAGTTGTCACGGGCCCCAGTGTCACAGGCAGAGGGCCAGCTGTCACACACCAGGGTCCTGGGGCAGGACCTTGGAGCCAGCCATTGGCATTGCTGGGATGCTTTGAGTTGTGTTCAGGGTTGGCTGCGTCTGCCTTTCAGGGAAGGCGAGAGATGATGGAGGTAGGGCCTTGAACCCACAGCAAGAGAGGAAATGGGTTTTCCACATACTTGGGCGGTTAGTGACTGTCACTTCTTATCTGTTTGCCTGGGGGATTTTTACATCTTACCTGTCTACCTTGACCTCTGTTTTGAGAAAGAATTTCATTATTTTCCTTGTAGCCTACGAATCTTACAGGTACTCATAGACCTTTATTAAGACAACTGACCAAGAATGTTCTGGTGTTTTGTTGGTCATTTGTTTTCTTTAGGTTTGCTTTGGAGACAGTATTATGACAGGAAGTAGGAATGATAGCTAACGTTGGTTTATTGAGTGTCATTTTGTGCCTGACTGGGGGCTCAGCTCTTCCTGTGGACTGTCACTTAGCCCTCACCTCAGGCCTGCAATTCACGTACTGTCATTCACCCCACTTCAGGGGGTGGAGATGAGGTTCAGAGCCAGCAAGTAACTTGTTCTGGGTGACATGGTCTCCTGCCCCAGAGTCAGGCTGTCAGTCTCAGGCTCTCCCTGGTCGGTGGGACTTGGCGTGCTGCGGCCTCCTGCTGACGCCAACCTCACGGGTTTCCACCTGTCTCCCTCCCCAGATGCACAAGTCCGGTGTTCTCAGGAAGGCCATCGATTACATCAAATACCTGCAGCAGGTCAACCACAAACTACGCCAGGAGAACATGCTCCTGAAGCTGGCCAATCAGAAGAACAGTGAGTGGGCTCATCCAGGAAAGGGGCCTCCTGCCGGTGGCGCCATGGCCGGCCTGCAGCTGCGTACGAGGCCATGCTCCTGTGGCCCGGCCTGGCCCTGGCCCAGGGGGGCTCTGTGAACACGGACCATTTACCGGGTGGGGTTTCTTTGCAGAACTCCTGAAGGGCATCGACCTAGGCAGCCTGGTGGACAATGACATGGACCTGAAGATCGACGACTTCAATCAGAACGTCCTCCTGATGTCACCGCCGGCCTCAGACTCCGGCTCCCAGGCTGGGTTCTCCCCCTACTCCATCGACTCGGAGCCTGGAAGTCCTCTGTTGGATGATGCAAAGGTATGAGCTTTTGAGATTCGTGGCCAGGTCCGGGAGAGTGGGCAGAATGAGGAGAGAGAAGAGAGACCCCGTGGGGGAAGCCAGCCCTCAGCTTTCACCCGTTCCTGCTGAAAGGGCCCATCAGAGAGGCATCAGAGCCAGAGCCAAAACAGGGCACGCAGCAGCTGTCGGCGCTGGGAATTGCCCGAGACGCCTCATTGCTTCCCTCTGCCCGTAATGGGCCTGGCAAGACCGCTTTGAAAAGTGGATCGGGTGGTTTAGGACAAGGCTGCTTCTGGGTCCTCTTTCCGGAAATGATTACAATTTGCAGTCTAACCAATAACGTTCAACCAAGTGTCTCTTATAGTTGGAGAAGGCCCCTGGCGATTGCGGCTTAATGGGGTTTGTTAAGAGCGGCTGCAAGCCTGATGATTGTCTTGGCACCTGCAGAGACCACTGGGTTCTGTACTGTATTTTGACATTGGCGCTTCTTGACTCCAGAAGCACAGAGTCCCCTTGGGTGGTTTTACCCAAACCGTTTATTGTCGACATGCACTGAATTCCATTCAGGAAGCGGTGTTTTCGCAGTGTTTTATAAACGTGACATGTAGACGTGTAAGTCGACCCAGCCAGGCTTCGGCAGTCCCTGGGCTGCTCAGATGGTGACGCAGGGGCTGGAAGGTTGGCAGCTCAGACCCACCCAGGGGTGCCTCAGAAGACGGGCCTGGCCACCTGCTTCTGCCTTGACAACCTGGGGTTTTCTCTGCACACGGGATCGTCATGAGTCAAAGTCGATTTCATGGCAGCTTTACTACAGCCGTGGGGTCGTCAGAAGACACTGCCGAATGGTTTAAACTATGGAAAGGACCAGGGGGATAGACCAGCTCCCGCCTCATCCCTCCCTCCTTGCGGGGTCCCCGGGCCTGCGGGGGAGGGTGGATAAGGTCTCTGCCTTCTTTAGTTCCCCTCCGTAAAGGGGGCAGGGGGCAGAGTGATGTCTTCAATCTGCTCTGTTGAGATGTAACTTAATGCAGTAAAATACGCCCGTTTTAAATGTACAGTATGAGTCTTGACAGATATTAGCACCTGTACCTATCACTGCCGTCCAGGTGTGACACATTTCTACCACCCAGAAAGCTCCTCTATGCGTTTGTGCAAGGGCCACTCCTCTCCAGCCTTAGGCCCTCTCCACTGACACACGTTGTGCCCCTTCAGTTAGATCTGCTCACTCTGGGATTCCACAGAATCCACTGCCTGCAGTGGGTTCACTTTGGTGCTTGACGTAGGGCTTTTTTTTTTTTTTATTTTACTTTTATCGATTGTGATTTGGGTAACAGTTTACAGAGCAAATTCATTTTCCATACAGCAATTCATACATGTTTTGTGTCGTGACGCTGACTGCAGTCTCCACAATGTGACAGCTCTCTTCCCACTTCCTCCCTGTAGTTCCCTCTTCCCTGGGTCCTTCTTTCCTGTGCATTCCTGCCCCCTGAGCTGTGTCCCTGTGCAAACACTGCCCTTCTGTTCTTCCTGATTGATCGTTCAAAGCTAGTGTAAATGTTCACCCTCTTTGCCTATCTGTTGCTTGGCTGGAAGCCACAGGAATTCAATCCCAGACCTGAAGGGTTAAGCAGGGGCCCTTGTCTCAGGGGTCTTTGAACTCTGTTTTAAAAGGACAGCTCTTCTCCCCTGGTCTTGGGGACAGATCGGCCACAGGGCAGCTCCAGGCTCGGAGCAGGGGTCTGTGGACTGCGGACTTGCTTTCCTCCTGGTTTGTTCCTGCCTGCCTTCACGACCAGGGATTGAAATCTCACAGTGGGTTCCCCACCGTCCGTAGCGTCAAAGCCGTCGCAGCTCGTCCAGCGCTCATTCGGGCCTTGCGGCTCTGTTTGCAGGTCAAAGATGAGCCGGACTCGCCGCCCGTGGCGCTGGGCATGGTGGACCGCTCGCGGATCCTCTTGTGTTTTCTCACCTTCTTGTGCCTGTCCTTCAACCCGCTGACGTCCCTGCTGCGGTGGGGCGGGGCCCGCGACGCGGACCAGCACCCGTACTCAGGCTCAGGCCGCAGCATTCTGTCCTTCGAGTCAGGTGAGGGGAGACCCCGTGTGCCAAACGCTGGCTTGTCCCACAGGCTCCAGGGGCTTGTGTAATGAGCCTCACCCCCTGCTGCTGACAGGCACTGAGAGTCGAATTTGAATTTGGGAAGGAAGACTGACCCAAGTTGGGTCGGAAAGAGCAAAACAAACCAGGAACCTGCGCTGCTGTGCTTACTCTGGGGGCAGGGCCCGTTTGAGGAAGGATTTGGGGTGGGGCCCGTTTGAGGAAGGATGTGGGGTTTTACCTGAGTTGCGCGAAGCCAGTGCCCTAATGACCTTTGACTAACAGAGATTTTTGTGGTATTCAGCTCCCTAACGACAAGGGCAGCGGGCTGCCAGCTAAGCGGTCAGCTGTCCCCAGGGTGCCTGTAGTGTGGATTAAGTGAGTGTCTTACTCTTGTCGCAGGCACCTACTTGCTGTTACTCAGTTAGCAACCTCGGTATCCTACCCTTCCTTATGAAAATAGGGCTTTCTTGTGTCACAACTTGGAGTCAGTCAGCTGCCCTGCAGTCTCTCTCCCAGGGCTGTCATGAGAAGTCCCCCCCCCCCACACACACACAGGCTCACCCGGGATGCTCCCTCCTCAGGTTCTGGGGGCTGGTTTGGCTGGATGATGCCAACGCTCCTCTTATGGCTGGTCAACGGCGTGATTGTCCTGAGCGTCTTTGTCAAGTTGCTGGTCCACGGCGAGCCGGTGATCCGACCACACTCTCGCTCCTCAGTCACCTTCTGGCGACACCGGAAGCAGGCCGACCTGGACCTTGCTAGGGTGAGTTCTACCAGCCGCCTCCCTTCCCTCCCCTCAGGCCCGGCCCTGTGTCTCGGCGTGCACTGAGCGCCACTGTGTACAGGGTCCCGAAGGAGGTGCTGTGGTCACCCCACGTCTCAGTGTGTGCCAAGCCGAGTGCCACTGTGCACAGGGTCCCGAGGGGGGTGCTCTGGTCACCTGATGTCTCAGCATGTACCAAGCGCCACTGTGTACAGGGTCCTTGGGGTTGCTGTGGTCACCCAGTGTCTCAGCATGTGCTGAGTGCCCACTGTGTACAGGGTCCCCAGGGGATACTGTGGTCACTTGATGTCTCAGCATGTACCAGGCACCACTGTGTACAGGGTCCTGAAGGGGGTGCTGTAGTCACCCGACGTCTCAGCATGTGCCGAGTGCCCACTGTGTACAGGATCCCGAGGGGTTGCTGTGGTCACCCAGTGTCTCAGCATGTGCTGAGCGCCACTGTGTACGGGGTCCCCAGGGGGTCCTGAGGTCACCAAGAGAAGGAGGAACACTGTCCAGAAGTAACTGTGTGGCCCCAGATGATCTGCAGTTGTAGTGTGACAGGAAGAGTAAAGGGCCGTGAAGGCTCGAGGCAGAGTTCTGGTTGAATGGAGCCGTAGGACCACAGCCAGCGGACACAGCGGACGGATCTTCTAAGTGGAGAGTGTGACCTGAAGAGATGGGTATTTGGAAACTGGCAAGTACATGATGTGTCTGGAACGTAGACATGTCAAGAGAGATGAAAGCCTGAGGCTGGCAGTGCAGCGAGGGCCCACAGTGGAGAGGACTGGGAGTAGTAAGAGGTCTGGGGCTCTGTCCCCAGTTCTCTGGAAAACCAGGAAGAGTTTTTGAATGGGTGAATTCGCTGACTTTCTTTTTCAGTTGACCAAGGAGAGTTTGGGAGGCCTGGTGGAGTGGTGCTTAAGGCATTTGACTCTAACCAGAAGGGTGGTGGTTCAAACCCACCAGCCAATCCCCGGAAGGAAGGTTGGGCAGTCTACTTCCATAGTGATACCACCTTGGAAACCCAAGGAAGGGGTCACTATGGGTCGGATTGGACTTGACGGCAGTGAGTTTGGTTTGGTTTTTTGGAAGGAGAGTTCATGGAAGGATTCTGGGGCAGCTCACAGCACTGCGGGGAGAGTGGACCCTTGAGTCTTGGCACCAGAGCATCCCTGGCATCAGGAAGTCATGTGCCACCCCCCGCTCAAGCTGCACTGCCCACCAGGGAGGGTCTGATTGGCCAGCCTGGGTCTGTCACCCATGGCCGGAGCTGAGGGTTCTGGAGAACAGAATGGACCGTTGGGGCCTGTGCCATGGAGCAGGGCTGTTCCCGAGGAGAGCAGCCTGACATGCGTCTCCCGGAGTCAGGGCTGGGTCTGTTCTGGTGGCCATGAAGGATGGATGGCAGAGGAGGAGACATGAAGTGCATGGAATCAGGGGAGGAGGCTCTTGGAGGTGGCCAGGTGAGGACAGCAAAGGCTTGGAGGCGAGAGGGAAGGTGTGAATTCAAGACTCACTGGACATGTGAAAGAGAAGGTGACAGTGACACTGACTCAGATGAGAGAGCCTGGGTGACGTGGCAGATCCTGTCCAGGCTGTGGGCTCTGCTCTGCTGGAGAGGGCCCTGTGGAGCAGGGCACCAGGACAGCCAGTGGCACTGAGGAGGCCTATTTTCTTCTTTGTAACTTTCTGAAGTTTCCCAGATGTTCTTCAATGAACAGGTATTACTCTGATGATGAGGGCGAAAGGGATATGAAAGTTTTTATTAAAAACCAAGCAAAAAACGTGTGACTCACTGTCTCCATGAACAAATGGTTCCTGTGCCACAAGACTAGAACTGGACGGTACCCAGTTACCATTACTGAATGTTTTGATCAAGGATTCTGTAGAAGAATCCTTGATCAAAAGGGGGAACATGCAGAACAGAATTGCAAATTTGCATGGCCTCTTGACTTTCTGGAGCCATGGAGGCTGGATGAACCCCTAAAACTGATGCCCTGAGATCATCTTTAAACCTTAAATCAAAATTATCCTCTGAAGTCTACTCAATACCAAATAGTAGTTTAGTGTAACTAGTAAAGAATGTTTGTCTTGAACATTATGATCTTTTTAAAAACAAAAAACTTTTTATTGTGATTTGAGTGAAAGTTTACAGGGCAAATTGGTTTTTGATTCAATAATTCTTACGCATCTTGTTTAATGACATTGATTGCAGTCCCACGGTGTCAGGGAACTCTTCCCGCTTCCTCCCTATTTCCTGTTTCCATTCTTCTTTCCTATCCCTTCCTGCCTTCTGAACTCTAGCTTCCCTTCGGATGCCTGTGGTTGATTGTTCTAAGGAGTGTGCCCCTTCCTCGTGGTAACATTCACCATAGAGCCTATTGTTTGGCTGAATGTTGAGCCACGAGGGCGAGTTCAGTTCCAGGCATGGAGAGCGTCTCAGGGGTTCCCCCAGTCTCTATCAGACCAGTAAGCCTGGTCTTTATGATTTTGAACTTTGTTCTACATTCTTCTCCCTCTCTATCCAGGGCCTCCTGTTGTGGTCCCTTTCAGAGTGGTTGGCAGCAGTAGCTGGGCACCATCTAATTCCTTCTGGTCTCAGTCCAGGAGGCTGAAGCATGTTAGACTCTCTTTTTTTTTTTTCTAGAGAGACCCATTAAGCCTTAAGCAGAACAAAGACAAAACAAACAATCATCCAGATGAGAGAAATGTTAACACGCACATGGTACAGAGAGTCAGTGGATTCCACAGACTCACAACCATGATTTTTATATGTATGATAGAAAACAAAAGAAATCATCACAAGAGCATGATTGGTGACAGGTCAGTCAGTCCATCACTGCTGCAAGTGGGACTAGAAGTGGGGAAAGGACTATGACTGGAATACATAGACGATTGCAGGTTAAGAAGCTTACAGGATTTAGTCAGGTGGTCTAAGTATGACTCATGATCATGTGGCCCTGCATC